CTAATTGTGCAACAGCTTAATTATAAGTTTGCATTCTATTTTGCCTATTTTTGGCTTTTTTTTCCAGCCTAGAATCTGCAATTTGGAAAGCACTCATTGCCAAATTAGTGTGAGAAAATTTCAGAGGATGAAAACAACTGCTCCTCTGCTTACTCCCTGCAGAAATGTGTCACATTTGAAGTAAAAGAATAATATATTAAACAGCAAAGTCCCAAATTAACAATTCGATTTATTTAAGCGACAACAAGATTATCATAACATACTTAGTTTTTTATGGACATTGGCAGATTTTCTGTATGGATTTGGGGAAAAAAAATCAGCTTCCATATCTAATATTCCTTTATAAGGTATAGAAGTGGCTTTTTTATCTCAAAATCCAGCCCCTGTCTCAGTATATTCTTCTCAAAATGAAGTCATAGTTTGATGTTTTAATTAAAAATCCTTTGTAACAATTAATTAAGGGGCTAAAATTAAGTAATTCAACTTCTAAAAAAAAAAAGAAAAGACACATGATGCTGTCATTTTAATTAGACTGTGTGCTTTTGCTCGTACTATAAATAGAATGTTCTAAATTTTGGACTTTGAGCGGATTTTACTGCTAAACAACCCATCTCAGTTATAAAGTAAAAAAGTAAATGACGCATGTTGTCGGCAGCTGGCCACCCGCGCAGGCAGCTGCTAACAAGATGTTTACATGAAACACCAAAAAATCCACTGATGAAAAAAAACAAATAAAGGGAAGATATTGGAGAGGCCAAACGTCAGGGGCTGACACAGAAGACACTGTGAATCATCAGATAATAACGCCACGTACGTACGAGATGGAGGAAGGAGGACTTTAGTTAGCCACACAGTGCTGCGGCTGTAGCCGTCCTTGGAGAAAAAAACGCTACACTGTGTCTCCTCTGTCCTCCACTCCGCTCCAGAGAGGAACAACAACAGTCTTCAGCCTTGTTTGGGTCTGGTTTCCATAGAGGAAGAAGGAAGGGCGGCATGGTTCTGCTCCACTTTGTACCTCTAGCGTTACACCCCTCTTTGGGTGTTTAACCCGTGGTACATTATCAACTTGGCTTTCAAGTAGGTGAAGTGCAAGAGTATCACCTGATGGAGCCAACCTGGCAGAAAAACAAAGGCCTTCCCTGCACTCTAAACTGCTTTTAGAGGACAGATGAGTGGGATCGCTGACGACGTACACGTTAACACGCCTGTTCACCACCTCCACTCTCTGCTGCACTCACTTCCTTTGTCTGTCGCCCTATTCATATCATCTCTTCCTGTCTGTCATGTCTACCTAGAATCAGAGAGAGGAAAACTGGAAAAGGCAGATGTTACTGACGTGATGGCACACAAACACACAGGGTCAAGTAAACACGCCTTTACCAACCAGGTGTGAGTGTCAGCAGTGTTTCTTTTACAGTTCACCTGTCTTAAAGTTAGGGGTAAATGTTCTTTTCAGTCTTTGACATTCTGCAACAAACGGCAGATCAAATAAAACAACTCACCTTGACTAATTTAATTATTAACCAGGTTAAGATTCAATGTGGGTAGTTATTTATTAGCTTACTAAATAACTAACCATTGCAGAAGACTTACTAAAACTTTTTAAGTTGAGTATTGTGGTTTAGAGCTGCAGTGGGTTAGTTACTAGTTCTGACAACTTTTTTAAAATTCTCTATTTTTCTTCTTTCTTACTGACAGAGAACATCCCTTCTGTTGGTGTCTGAGGTTTAGGATCACTGCTGCCTAATAATGTAGTGAGCACACTGTACATTTTAACTGCGTACTGTTCAAATAATTACATCCTCAACGAACCAGAACAACCTGATAACCAATAACACACAGGGCTTCCCCTCAGGTCAGTCAACTCCAAGATGAATTAATAGACTAGATATCTCTTCAGCCTGCATTGGGTTTTGTAATCTCCACATACACATACACACACACACACCCTGCGGGGAGAATGTGTGTGAGTTTAGACCTTTGCCCCCTTATAATCCTGTAGAACCTACACCATGACAGCAGCAAATAAATCCTCCCGTGTCAGCAGACGCCCACGGAAGTGATGATCTCTCAATTCATATCAACAAAGTTCAAGGTTGGACATAAGGTTACGTCATAGTGTCTGTTTCTGATTGGAGTCCTGTCGCTCAAACTGTGTTTAACTGTCAGATTAAAAAAGTGATGTTGATAGTTGTTGTACTGTACAGCTGGTACAGCATGTCTGGTACAATACATGCTGCACTGATAAAACTTTGGAATTGGTTTTTAATTTGAGATTCAAACACCAGAAGTGAACATAGAGAGCAGCAAAAAAACAATTTGAATTATTATATATAAATATGTAAATATATATATATAAATGCATCCAACAGCTATGAAAAACAAAAAGGAATTCTTCACTAAACAATGACTATTTAATGTCCATGTCCTGTCATAGAATCACATTGGTAAATATTCAGTATCTATAAAGTTTTGTTGACCAATAAAATCATTCAAAACTTGAATGAATAAAACAACAACATCCCCATTTATTAAACTTGATACTACATCAGCAGATCAACAACGTAGTAAAGAAAACACTATGAAAAACAAGTATGAACTGAAATTGAAATTGTATTTCCATATGAAAACAAGAAAAGCTTGAATTTATGTTTTTGCTTTTCCTCCTTTGAAGCCCTGAACAGAGCGCGGCTCAGAAGCTAAGACCTCATACTGAGGAAGTTGTGGGTACATTCAGGATGTCAAGAGATTTCTGTGCCTTGAGTTAAATACAACTTACTAAAGGAGAGGAAATTGTTACTCTGCACAGTGAACCGGAACAGTGAGACGCACTGACATGTCTTTGTTTATCAGTGATTCATTCTCATGTGTGACCTTCTATATTCCCTTTCTAAGGGCAGGAAACTCATGATACAGTAGCTGAACACCAGTTTCCCAAAATGAAGGAATGCACGTGAACACACCATCCAATTTCTGTTATTTTAACTTATAATTAAAACAGAAATGATAAATGCTGATGCTGCATTCTTTAAAGGGTTACACCGGTTACTCAGGGCCCACGCCCACAAGCAGGTTCCTTATCAGGCACTGTGCATCCAGCTGGCCACTCAGATTAGACAGCGACATTCCCATACGACAAAGTTCAACTTTAAAGCCCTTTAACTCAACTCTGTCGGCTCATGAACCTTCAGAAAACCTAACATGAACTTTTATTTAAATAATCTTCATTCTATTCTACTGCTGCTGAGCTGGAGCCAATGGCAGCAGCAGCAGCATCGGTCGAGGCCACGGCTCTGTTTGGCTCGGTCCACACACACATGTCGTGAACTCTACAGGTTTACCCTGTCTTTTATTCCTACGGTCAATCCTGAGCTTTGGGATTTTGAGAACAAGATTCTCTCTACAAGTCCATACAGAAAGACAGGGAGTTAAACCAGCAACTCGTGATCGTCTTGCTGTAAGGCAGGAGCTCTGACCACTTCCTCCACTGTGTGCCTCCACCCAAACTATTAACTCCGACGTTCGTAACTTTGGGTCAAACTATGGTATTTACTCTTGTTCAGTAGAACAGAGACGGTGTATTCGATCTCTGTTTCAACTTTATATTTATGACGCACACACTCATGTATATATTGTATATTACACACACTGCACAACTCCTCTGGCACAATTAAGGCTCAGGCTTAGAGCCGTGCATTATACAGGCTGACACAGACGCAGTCGGCGGCTGTCAACCCTCAAAGGGACTGAACGGAGCATAACCCTGCAGCCGGCTCGTGTCTATGGAAACATTTCATGAGCAGCAGCAGCAGCAGCAGCAGGGCAATGTGCTCAGTCGCACGTGGCTCATTAATTAGTGACAGCAACCATACACAACTGCATGCTTCACTTGCAGCCGCGCACCAACTGTGCAACTCATGGCAGACACCATCCTGACACACTGGACGGACGAGAACGAAGACATTTTCTTGTCATGACTGCAAGAGTTATGGCAGCGATGGGGGATCGCTGGTTAATGACTACAATTACAGCGGCATGCTAGCTTCTCCGAGATGCATCAAAACAGTGTCACTTAAAAAAAAACACACAAAAAAAACACAAAAATTGACTGCAGTGCTTCATGACAGGAAAATGTCGTTCGTTCTCGTCTGTCCAGTGTTTCAGGATGGTGTCGTCAATTGCACAATTAGTTGCACAATATATAAAAATATATATTTAAAATACTAATTCATATTTACTTTGATCCAAGCAGATTCCAGTTTCCAAGGTTTTAAGCATGCATGTATGTTGTTGGTCAATGTTAAGGTCGACTACAGCAGACAATACATGGAGAGGTTGTTGACTGTAGCACTTGTTTACACCTGACACTGTACTGTAACCCTATGACCATGAAAACATGAGATGTAAACAACAGGTTATTGTGAAAACAAATGTTGGAAATAAACACGGACACGTGTTGGTTTTTTCTGTTTCTGTGTTTCAGGAGCGTTTTCCATCGACAGTCAACTTCTTGCTAATGTCCTCTCCCTATTTATGGCTAATCTTCAGCCTCTTCAGCCTCTTCAGTTCACTGTAAACATTTTAAACTTACTTTCAGCTCTCGTTGGGATAATAATTGTTAGCACCCTTGTTGTACATTGACAATTTTCTTAACTATTTTTTTTATCATCTGTGTAGACTCTACACTAACCTTTAGTGTTCTTCTAACAATATTTATAATATACCACCACTATGTTGTTAATACTTAATAATCCCATGATTATCCAATTTTATTAATTTTCTATCAATAACATTAAAAAATGTTATTTTCTCTGAATTGCTTAAAAAAATATATTAGTTACTATATGATGTTATTTGTTTCAAAGTATCAAACTTGGCTAAGTGCATACACTTTCCGTGCCTTAGATCAGGAAATCTTTACTGTTTGTTTTGCAGGCCAATAGAAGTAAGTTTGGGTTGTTTTTTTTAACTGAAGTGCAGTTACACCCACAGACACTGGATACAAAGAAGAGCTTTAATGGTAACCGAGGGCCTGTGGCTTTAATGTGATCTTTCCCTTCAACTTCCTGTAATATTGAGTACAGTTTGCTGCCTGAGTGGTTGACGCTCCTGGCAGTGTTTAAGGTACAGCCGCCTCTGTCCAATATGACTCTTTATCCTCCTCCCACATCCAACAACATCATCACTGCTGCAGACTTTGATTCTTTAAAAAGTGACAAATCAGTGATACCATCTTTAACAACAGAATCTATGCTCTGATTAACCATTTGAGACCCCTACCTCCCACAGATGAGCAGATTATGCTGAGGTTTGAGAGACACTAGAGGAAGTTGCTCCCACAGTTTCCTCCAGCGACCCATTATTTGCACCCACTCAGTCTGACAGCTGCAGGTGTGGAGCTGTCCTCCACAGACATTTGTGACAAAGTGACAAATCCCTGTTCCCCCACACACACACCAGATATATACAATTTAGCTTCATCTAAACTGAGGCTCTTTGACACAAAAACCTTTTCTTAAAACAGTACTCAGGGTTGAGTTGCTGCATATAAAGTATATACCTAAACAAGGTGGAGTCCTCCATAAAAACCTGCATTTACTGCCCAACGCAAACCTCTGCTAAAGCATCACTTCTTCCAGTGAGGCCCACCGATGTGTCAAAGAGCTGCACTGTGCTCGCTGGGCCGGACAGACACTGAGGTCCTGTGCTGTGTTTCACACAGACGGAACTGACCAGCGAGCAGATCCAGATTAAATAACCACTCTGAGCCAAATGTGCTGCAGGGCTGCTGAGGTTTGACCAGTGCCTAACCAAGGGTACTTTCACTGCCCCTGGTTGGTTTGATTTACACTGGAGGGGCAGCCAGTGCAGGAAGTCAAGGAAAAAGTGAGATGTGTGGGGAAAGTTGCGCTGCAACATCCCTACAGTAAACTGTTGATTAAAGCCAATTATTGGGAAGCTGCAGGGTTTGCTTTGAAGCTTTTTGTTATTACTGCCACTTATTCTGTTTAAGGTGTAGATGTCAAATCTTATTTCTACTCAATGACTATGAAATCCTTCGATTTATCTTGTTTCGATCTCCTAGTTTACCTGAGTGAAGACTACTTCCTGAGTTTTATTTTTTTAGTGGCACTGCTGTCAGGCGACATAGTTCAAATGTTAGTCACAGTGACAGCAATGATGAGAGAGTCAAGCATCCTCTCAATGGTGACAGGAAGTAGGTGACACCCTTAAAATATGAGTACATAAAACATGAACTGAAGTGACAAAATGCTTCAGAATCTGGGGTGGAAAAAAGCCAAACTCGCTCAAACTTACCTTGTAGACCTTTCCAAAGGCACCGTCACCAAGCTCGCCAATAATTTCCCAAATGTCATTGGGGTTAACGTCCCGGCGAACGTGCTCATACTGCTTGAGCTTCTTTTTGATTTCAATCGTAGGCAGGCGAAGAATTTTGCTGAACCTCGCTAGTGCCATATTCTCAAAAAATAATAGCAACAAAAAATAATGTGGTATAAAAAACTATGGCTCTCTACACAGAGGGCATGACGCAGGCACAGACGCGCAACGCGATCAAAATGTTTTTTTAAAAATCGTTGTACTTCCCTATACTTCACTATAAAAAGTAAAATAAAAACAAGACTTATTCGTCTCCTTCCATGTCAGCCAGCTGTGACCATCTCTATTTTCCGGCTGTGCAGTTAAAACATGAGAGAATAATCCCGTTCACTGACTGCGGTATTGCTGAAGGAGGCACGTTGACCACCTGCCGTTGATGACAGCGACTGGAGCGACTGGAGCGTCTGCCGCTGCTGCCGCTTTCTATGATCAACTTGTTGATTCAAACTACGCTTCAAGCCCCACCTTGTGGCCCAACAGACACTCCCTCTCACTGCCGTCATGGAAATGTAGTTTCTTAGAAAGAACAAGCTGTTGTCATGACGTCTCCTGTGAGTTAAATGGACTTCATGTCCGGGTTGGTGAGCACGCACTCCCCCTAATGTCCAACAGCGGTAGTGCCGGAAACTACACTGAAGAACGTGCGTAGGTTGTTGTTGATTGTTGTAATTAATTAATTAATTATTATGTCCAGTCAACCGTTTCTTTAAAGTGCTGGACCATTACTACAAGGTCTACATTTAAAATGTGATTTATTAGAGTTTTTTTTATATTATGTGGAGAAGATGACTCACGGTCAGGTGACAGTTGATTTGTTACTAATCTGGTTAATATGATTCTTTGATCGTTGTTCTTTAATGACTTTATTCCAGTTTTCTTCTAAGTCAAACAGCCTCAGGCTGGTTAGGATTGACGTCCAACCATGGCTAACTTCAAGGTTTACAAACAATGCTACTCTGCCCTCTACTGGCAGACTAGGTTAGGTGAGCCCAAAAAATAAGTTTAGAAAAATGTTTACACGATATCGTCAATGATAAAAAGGTGTAAAATAATAATAATGCCCCTGGAAGATGCAACTCTTGACATGTGCCTTTATCCAGACTTTATGCAACGTTTGATGACTTAATGAGTTGTGGGAAGAAAGTAGTCTCAACATCTAGCACATGTTAATGTTTGTCTCTTAATAGTGTTGCCTGAAATTAAGTCTAATGAAAAATCTACAAATCCACTCAGAGTTAACAGTTTGTTTACTCTGAAACAATTGGGGGGGAGAGGGGGAACACAAAGCAAATGACAGTTCGAAATACAAAGAGTTATACTATAACTATACAGCAATATAGCTAACTATATATAGCTTTTTAAAGGAGTCAGTGGAACGAATTATTCAATAGTGTCCTGTTAAATATTTTATGACTTGTGTAACCAAAAAACAATCAACAACAAGGGTTGTTATGGTGTAAATATCGTGCTGTTTATTATAAAAGAAAGCCCAGAAAAAATATATATATTCATGGTTGTTTAAAAAGAATGTAAGATGTAAAAATGTGACTTAAAGCATTTCATTTATAATAAAAAAGCGATGATAATAATAAACGTAGATAGCATATTTGTAAAATAAACATATATTTTTCTTTTAGTTAATGTAGTAATATGCAGATTGTTCGTGAAAACGGCTTCTCTCTTTCTCTAATAGTAGAGTGATCTAATAGAGGTGATGTTAGAAAAAATAATGTCGTTCCAGAGCAGCACAGTCAAAGCTTGTGAACACCAACTCCTGCAGAAACAGAGGGGGGCGCCATTAGACAAGATGGATCAATACTCGTTCAGAAAACTCAAGTTGTTCATGTGTGTCAAAAATCTATGACAACAAATCTCCACATACAGTATGTCTTGGATTATTTGTTTTGTAACGGCAATATATTGGTCAATTACAGTATCAAGCAGTTTAATTATATATAATGTATATTTCAAACCAATGTGTGTTTCCTGAAGCTCATGAGCCAGAGTTTTCTTCGTGATACAGTTTGGATTGTGATGCACACCTGTACAGACACCTTCTCTCACTGTCTCTTACCCCATGGCACTTCTCCGACATGAAGATGAAGAGCTGTCTCAGGTTGGATCCCAGCCTCCACACATCTCTGGTGTAGGCGCAGCGGCGCTCTCTCAGGCCGTCCACCAGGGAGATGTAGGTCCTCATTTTGTACATCACACATCCATTCTGACAGAGACAGTAACAATTAGTGTCACTTTGCATGATTTAGGGGGATTCGGTGAGACAGACCAAACACCACTGAGGTTGGTGCTGAGCTGTTTAGACCGCCAGATAAGCCAAAGAAGAAAACACAGCACAGTAAACATGTTTAACATCTCTGTTGACATTTTGTGTCATGGAGTAAATTCATTCTTTCATCATAAAACTGACTGAAACGTGTTGGTTTCTTCTGGTTCCTGCAGTCCTTTAAAAATGTACACATACATCTTGTAAGTATTGATGTAGAAATGAGATGAATACTCACATGGATATCAAGGTGGAGGTCTGGCATGTGTGCCATGCAATAAGTCTGGTTGAAAAAAAACATTAAATATCAATTCCTGTGATGCCTCAATTTACCTTAAAAAAACTAAGTCAATATTACACTTATCTAATGAGATTTCCACTTACAGTTTCCGGGGCCCTCTTCAGATAAGCTGCCCAGTGGGTGAGGTCTCGTGCCATGTTCAGTACCTTGCTGTAGCAGGTGGGTGGGATGAAAGGGTAGTTGAGCACCAACGGCACCAGAGATGAAATAAGCAAGAAGTGATAAAGGATCGCCATGACTGTCTGACTGCTGCAGCACAAAGTCTTTGTTTGTTTGTCCGTGTCGGCGATGCTCGACTGCAGCCACGTATGCATGTGGATGAATTCTAACACACCCCTGTGTTTACTCCAGAACAATTAGTGGTTTTATTTCACTGAGGGATTTAGCCCAGGCATCGCCATGGTCAGACTGGAGAGCAACATGACCAGTAGTATCCACCTTGGGTCTGATGGGAAATATATGTACTGAATAGAACTAAATGTGTAGACTAAAAAAATAGGTTTTTACACAAGTGGAATGCCATGGAAATATTCTCAGAGACAAAAAAAAATAGGTTTTTACACAAGTGGAATAAAGTTTTCAACCAAAAAAATTAAATTTAACCAAACTATGATTCATTTTAAATATTTATATTTTTAAATATTTTGTTGAACATTTTTTGTGTTCTCAATGTGATTCATATTATTGTATTCATCAGAAAAGATAAGTAAAACTTAAGTAAGAGATAAGTAAGAGAAGTAAAAATTACAGGACGAAATTGTCTTTCCTTCCACTAGACGGCGGTGGGTTTAAACTTAACTCTTTACATCTCAACCGTCATCTATAACTGCCAGATGTTCAGTCATTCATTCATCTACCACTTAATCCTCCAAAGGTCGCAGGGGTGGCAGGAGCCAATCCCTGCAGTTATCTAGAGTTGGTACAACGTGTACTATTCAGCAGTACTTCATAGGGTCGCACAGAGAGAATTCAGAGAGAGCAGTTAAACCTCAACCTGTGTGTGTTTAGACAGTGGGAGGAAACGTGTAGACAACAGGCATGCATTAACTTCTGCATTATAAGTCGTCTCCTTCATGTCCAAATGTGATGGGATGGTGTCATCACTCATCTAATTTGATGGAGCAACACACTTCCTGGTGCTGTCAAAGGCCCGATCAGGGATCGTGCTGCCTTTGAGTGATTCCCGTTACATTGCCATGCTGCCTTTGAGTGATTCCCGTTACATATGAGCGATGTAACGCAATGTGAAGATGGATGGCCCACCAGGAGGGTGTCTTGTCGTGATGGAAGAGGAGAACGAGAAAGCAAACGTGCTGGGTGCAGAGTAAGCATATCCCTGTTCTCTGGGTACCAACACTCGGACGTCCTCGGCCAACTCTTCACCTTGGCCTCCAAAGATTACCATGGGACACACATGACCTGTCTGTCTACATAAGTGATGAAAGCGTTGCTGACCATGGTGGTGGAAGTGATGGTGATAAGGCAGGTGTTGACACAGGAGGGAGACCATTTTACTGCGGTAAACACTTTTGGGTTCTGAATCCCTGGCTATTACCATTTGGATTTGATCTAAAAATAGAAAAAAGAAAAAAGCGGGGAGTTGCTATTGGCCAGTTTTGCCATTTCTGCTGAAGCACATACAGTATATATAAATATATGTAATCCAAGATTACTGAACAAGTCAAAGCATGTTATTACTTTTTCTAGACACCTTATCTTCCCTCTGCCATGACCTTGGTTTAAGTCCCTTCAATTTCCAAACCAAATGCACTCTGCTCAGTCCTCATCCCTTCAATGAGGTCATGGCTGTACGTGTTTCTTTTGTGACATCACCTCAAAATACTGCTGACAGTCCTGTTAGTACACATGCTCACTCTGCTACAGCCTGTGATGAGATGTGCTCCGTGTTTTGAAAGGGTCTCTTATTTTCATCTATAGCTCGAGACCTCCCTGACCTTCCTGACAGATAATATGCTTTTCTGCTCGCTCCTGTGGGCTCTCTACACCGTCACTCCAGGGCCTGCCGCTTTGTTTGCAGTCTGTGAGTCCTTCAGCTGCTCTCTAGAGATCCTGACACTTTGACTGCCCTGGTCTTATTTTGGAGACCGCTCATATTTCTCCGGGCGAAAATGTAGAAGGAAGTGACATTTTGTAAGCGGCTACTTCTTGAGTCATTCATGACTGTGATTCAGCTTCAAAATACAAAAATTAATCTGTAAAAATTAGACTGTGCAGAATAATTTTGTAGGTTTATTTTTTAAAATTATTTTGTATTTTCTGTCTCCTTGTCGGTTTTTTATGGTCTTTTACACCTTTTTATGAAACTGTTTTTATTCCATTTTTCTCGTTCTTCTCTTTCTAGCTGACTTGTAACCCTGCTGTATAGAAAATAGAACTTGATCGGTGCAGTTAGAGTGATTCCAAATCAACATAAAATCACATTTCACTCAGTTTCTGACTGAAGCTGCAGGAGGATGTTACTGTTACACTGCTGAACATCTATTAGGCAGCCTGTGCTCATCAGCTACAGTTAAAATGCACCTGGGGCATTGTGACAACCTGCTGCTTAAGCATACTGGCATAACCTCAAGGGGGCGCTAAACGTGTAGCAGAATGTAACAGCAGGCATGACATGAAAACTAACACTTTCTATTAAGAAGCATACGTTTCGATTCAATTACACAATGTATTGGAAGCAGACCAATAGGAATCGTGTATTTCCAAACCAACGATATTCTGGGGTTTATTAAGTTCAGGAGTTTTTACTATTAACCTATTCTGATAAGCACGTGATTAAATGTAATGACGAGTGAGATTTAAATGCTTGTAAAATTCATGGGGTCTGTAGGGGGATAATAGTTGGGGGGGGGGATGTATGAACGAGTAACGTGAGGGAACTCTTGAGTCCCTTAAACACAGTCCACAGCTACAGCTGCCGTGCCTCTGCAGACGCACGGCTGTGAACCGGCAGCGCATGTAGACACTGATGTACTGGTCAGTGGTTCACCGGAGCAACACGACGAGTTCGGTTCTTTATACTTCCTCCTTATTCTTCCTATGACAACAATACAGTTTTCTTATTGGACTACATTCTTGGCGCCGCAAGTGCCGTCTCGCAGCTGCGTGCCTCAGACTCAGTCATTTCTTCGGGTGACCGCCGGCGCCCGGTGCGTAGTCTGCGTTGCAGCCGTTGTCCGGACGCAGGATAAGTGATGGATGCAGTGTACTTCCAGCGCTGTTGCTTTGCCCTGGCTTCACATCTCTGCGGCAGACAGCACTAGAAATGTCCACGAGCTCCGCGAACCGTCCACGTCCCGAGGTAAGCGCACGGCTGCCCTGCATGGATGCAGGACGGAGGCTACTTTCTATTCCGATCAGATATGAACGGCTGGAGCGCAGTGTCCTCTGGTGACAGCGCAGCACTGCGGCTCCCCTGTACTCAGTCCTGACAATGTTTCATTGCTTTAATACAGTAATTACATTTTTGGAGGATTAGCTGGACTGACGTAACCACTTGCATGTGAGGATTTCCTCCAGTGTTGACACAGCACATTGAAGTTTGTCTGTAAAGTCCATCTCTGGACTCCTGTTCGGCGTGTATCGCATTTATTTAGTTAAAAATCAACAAAATAATAATAATAATAATAATAAAACACGTGAGCTAAATAGAATGCAGCCTCAAACCCAGGGAGTCAAACCAACTTATCCTGACTTGGCTTCTCCAACATAACTGTAATAATGCGCTTAGGATTTAATTAAAATTACAATCACACAGCACTTTTTGTGTCTCCATATTTCTCCTAATGATGTTAACTGCTTGCAGAAAGCTCAGGAAGTCTCACACAGTGTTGGTCATTCTGACAGAATAAGCTGCACAGTCAAGCAATCTGTAAATGAAAAGCCTCCAAAATGTGATCTTTCCATTCATCACACACAGGGACACGGAGACACACAAATACACACTATAAACTCCCAGAATGATGTTTTAATGAAAACATAAAGATTTAATTATTAATAAAAAAGAGAGAGAGAAAGGAAACGTGGACTAGAGTATTTAGCTTTTCCTATCAGTTTGACCCTAAAATGTCTCACAACAAGTTCCAAAAAGATGTTTTCTCTCTTTTTGATATAAAAGAAATCCATGTTTTCGTTAATGTCTGCGTCCTTGTTCCTCCCCCCGACCCCCCTCTCTGTGCCCTGCCTTCATTTACAGGTTAGACTCTCAGTCAACAGAGAGCCCGAGTCACAAACATATCAACATTCTACTCCCGGCAGACCAGAGTAGTCTGTCTCACCGCCTTGATTGAAACTGCAGTAAAGACCAACAGGGCTGAGTGGTCCAGGACTTTTGGACTGTGTGTGTGTGTGTGTGTGTGAGGGGCTACCACCATTGACCAGGCTATGAGTGGTCTCAAAAAGGAGAGCCTTTCAATGCTGAGCTGAGCCAAGGGAGCAGAACAGGATTCAGGAACAGGAGGAAGAGCAGCCATGGGGCTCGGACAGTCCAGCAAGGCTCCGGTCACTGATGACACGGATGAGGGTGAGTTCTCAACCGTCCGGTAAATCCCGTCTGGCAAAATGTTCCTCCTGCCTCTGTGTTTGACTGGTAAATGGTGTAAGTTAAGTGTAGTGTCTGAAACAAGAAAAACTTGAGGTACAGATCAGTACAGACAAAGTAATTATTACATCATTTAAATATCTAACAATAACAAAAAAGTACTAATTAAGTACACGCTGTTTGTGGTTTAAATGTCCCTGCTCACATTCTACAGGATTCAAAGCTCTACTTGAATCCCATCATCCACCTCTCCTGCAGCCTTATCCCTGTGTATAATAAGTTATTCCTATTAGCTGAAAAGATGAAGTGCACTTACGGCCGATGTTATGCAGATTAGGTGCAATCAATCTTCCCCACAGATGGAAAAGGAGATGGAAAATTCCTTTTTGTCCTGGCAGTTTGAATTTGCCCAAGCTGCAGACTTGTCAAGCAGTTCTAGCTCAAATAAAAAGAGAATGATTAATGTTACATTTTCAATTTGTTTTATTGTAGGATGCTTTTTAAAAATATATATAAATAATTATGTATTATTATGTTTTTTTTAATTGATCCAGCTAATATTTGAAATGAATGATGGGAACTCAGGCATCGCTGAATGAGGTACGATATTATTTTCCTGACAAACTTGTGGAGTTGAATTAATTTATCCTATATTTTTGGGCAACCTGAGGATATAATAAAATGTAAATATTGATCAACGTCAGTCTATGATGAAAAAAATGATCATAGTAATTTTGTACTGTAAGTAGATTCATATACAGTTACAAACTGGACACAAAACGTTAAAAGTTTCCTAGTAGGATTTTCAAAGCTTGTTTTTATGCTGTGATATATTTTCATTGTGGCCCAGAGGCAAATATGCATTGTATTAGGAATACCACTCCAAGTGTAGCTTCTACTGTATATGCAGGTTTTCATGCATGGGTGATGTCACCAAGGGCAGAGGAGAAAATTAATACAGAGAAACATTTTTATTCCCATTTAAATCCCTGCAGCCTGGAAACACAGTAATCCCCGTGGATCTAACTCACATCACAGCGGATCCAAAGGGCTGTTCCTTGGCTTTGTTGTGACTATTTCACTGCCTCAAACCATATGCACTCCCAAGACACCTGTACATAAAGGGAAGGAGAAAAGGATGTAAAAAAATTTAAGATAAGCTAAGATATTAGCTTTCAAAATATGACATTTTGTGTATTTTTGTGTATTTTAATGGGGGTTATACACATGGACTTAGGGAACTCTAGTTTTAATCTCATAATTGAGGGTTAGTGGTCAATTGATGTTGATTATACATCATGCATCCACTCCTTTGATAGGCAATAAACATGCAAATTGAGTTTTCCACTTCTTATTTCAGAGGTCACAGGAGGGGAGGTCAGGCTCCAAACCTGGAACTGAGCATGACGAAATTGTAACATTTGAAAAATGTGTTTCATACAGTATATGAAGCAGAGAATGCTTTAAGGCCAAGGGATATTAACATTCATTTGCTATAACATAACAAATTTGGCAATAACACATTCAGTCATACTCTGTCAGAGTTAGACAAAGACTAAATATCTATATGGACAGACTTAACAAACATATTTGGAATGAGATTTCACACTCAGTAATTTGACTCAAATGCAGATTCAATTTGCATGATTTCCCATGCCGGCATGGTAGTTATCTTTACACTGAACCCAGACCAGTATAATCACCATGTGTGTTCCCTCTATGGGCCACAGAGAGTCAGGTAACCAAGTGACGAAGGAGATCCCCCCGTTATTGCTGATTATACCTGCTTCACATTGCAGCGTTCGCACATCCCAGGGGTTGTCTTTCAGTTGTCAGAGCAACAGTGGGAGCTCTAATGTGTCCTTAATGGTGGGTCCTGATGTAAGTGATTTACAGGCTTCTGCGTAAGAGCACGAACGAGCAGGGAGTGGGTGAGGGCCAGAGAGACAATGTGGGTACAGTGTCTCCTTCCTAACTTTTCTACCTGAGATCAAGTGTTAAAATGCAGCAGTGCTGGTAGCAGCAGCAGCAGCAGTGCTGTAATATAACAACAATATTTATACTTCATACACTCTACCGTCTACTACATTTAAGTAATTGAAATGTTGGCGTGGCTCCTGATGAATGTTTCCAGCGGTGAAATGATAAAAATGCCGAGTCTGCAGTGTAGCTGGAGAAGAACATATGGTGACACTCACTCCGCACTATTTGCTCAAATAAAAATCGACCCTTTGCACTTCCTGTGTGCGCTCGCTCTGTTCTGCCCACTATCTTTGACACAGTGTAAAAAAAAGAAGAGAAAATTCAAAATTCCAAAATTACACCAACTAATTAGTATATGTCAGCCAGTTTCCCTCTAATTTTAGCCAGACTGTAGGAGCGCTATCAGTCTTTCACTTATACCTGGGGAAATGTGATCATTACTTCCCACCATCCTCACAATCATCATCATCATCACAGTCGTGTCCTCTTGTTCCAGCGACACAGCTGTGTCTCTGAAAATCCCATTAGAGCTCAATCTTCAAGTAGCTCAG